TTGTAAAACTTTTTACAAAGCATATTAAAAGCCATCTATGGTTTAATGGTCTTTGTTTTCTAGAGTGGTGTTTCTTTAAATTCGGTCATTCCCATACCATCTTTTCTACCTGCGTACTACCTATATGTCCTATACAATTATTAGTTGTATTATTTAGGATAGTTAAGGATGCAAGTAATGAGCAATTCCTCCTCATATTACCTTATATGATAATGAAATTCATTATTTTTTGTAACAGGAAGTTCAGTGATAGGGTAGACTCCAGTATTGGTTGATTCAGTGTCTCAATAATGTTATCAAGGATGAATCAGATATGCCTCCTAAATTCATCTTGAGTAATGTTTAAAATCTTTTCATGGGCCATTATATCATCTTCATTTCCTCACCATTTTATAGTGAAAATTTTCAGACATACAGCCAAGTTGAAAGAATTTTACAATGAACACCACCTAGATTCTATCATTAGCCTTTTACCATACTATTTTTTTTAATTATTGTACTTTAGATGAGGGTTTACAGAACGAACTAGCTTTTCATTAAACAGTTAGTACACATATTGTTTTGTGACATTGGTTACCAATCCCATGACATGTCCACACTCTTCCTTCTTGACCTTGGGTTCCCTGTTACCGGCTTTCCTGTTCCCTCCCGCCTTCCAGTCCCTGCCACTGGGCTGGTGTACCCCCTTAGGCTTGTTTTGCTTTATGGGCATGTCCAAACCCCGGCTGAAGGGTAAACCTCAGGAGTGACTTCATTACTGAGCTAAAAGGGTGTCCTGGGGCCATACTCTCAGGGTTTCTCAAGTCTGTCAGGCCAGTAAGTCTGGTCTTTTTTTGCAAGTTAGAATTTTGTTGTACATTTTTCTTCAGCTCTATCCAGGACCCTCTATTGTGATCTCTGTCAGAGCAGTTGGTGGTACCAGAGCCGGGCACCATCTAGTTGTGCAGGACTCAGTCTGGTGGAGGCTGTGGTAGTTGTGGTCCATTAGTCCTTTGGACTAATCTTTCCCTGTGTCTTTAGTTTTCTTCATTCTTCCTTACTCCCGACGGGAGACCAGTGGAGTATCTTAGATGGCCGCTCACAAGCTTTTAAGACCCCAGATGCTACTCACCAAAGTAGAATGTAGAACATTTTTCTTATAAACTATATTATGCCAACTGAGCTAGATATTCCCCAGGACCATTACCATACTTATTTTTTCACATATTTATCTATCTTTATATTCATCCACAATTCATCTAATTTTTATGTCACATATATCTGCACACTTCCCGTGTATCTTCAGCATGAATATAAGCAACGAGAGTTTAATATTTAATTAGAGTTTTTAATGTAATGTTTACATATAATGAAAGGTACAAATCTTAAGCGTACATTTAAGTGCCTCTTCTCAGTCCTTCTTCCCCCACCTCCCTACTGTTCTAATTTTTCCACTATAGATTAGATTTTCCAGTTCTAGTATTTCATCAGTAGAATCATATAATGTACATTCTTTTGCCAATTGCTCTTTTCATGTAACATAATTTTTTAAAAAATAATATTTTAATTGCCTTTTCGGTACAAGTTTACACAGCAAATTAGGTTTCCTTTTGACCGTTTCTATACAGATTGTTCAATGACATTAGTTACATTTTTCACAATGTGTCAACATTTCTCTTTAATTGTGCTCTGGTTGTTCTGTTTCCAGTGCTCTAGCTTCTCTGCCACCTTATCTTCTCATCCTTGCTCTAGAGTAATTGTTGACCTTTTGGTCTCATATAGATGGTTTTTTAATGGAGCGCTGTACTCATGGGTAATATCCTTTATTTTGTGTGCGAATCTGTTATTTTGCTAAAACATGATCTCAGGATAGTTTCAGTTTAAGGTTTAAAGAGTATCTCAGGGCGATAGTCTCAGTGATTCCTCTAGTCTCAACTGGTCCAGTAAGTCTGGACTTTTTAAGAAGTTGAGTTCTGTTCCATGTTTTTCTTGCTTTCTGTCAGGGTCTACCTATAGTGGCCCTGATCATAATGGTTGGTAGTGGTAGCAAGGCACCATCTAGTTCTGGTCAACATAATGTTTTTAAGATTCATAAACGTTGTGTGCATCAGTAGTTCATCTGTTTTCATTGCTGAGTAGTATTCCACTGTATGAATAGATCATAGTTTATCCATTGTCTCATTGATGGATACTTGGACCGTTTCCTGTTTTTTGCTATTGTGAATAAAGGTGTTGTGAACATTTTTGTAGAATTGTTTTTGTGGTCATTATGTTTTTATTTCTCTAGATAAATACCTAGTCTTAGAATTGCTTTGCCAGGGTTAGAGGTATGCTTAGTTAACATAAGAAATGCTAGACCTTTTTCCAAAGTGGTTGTACCACTTTATATTCCTATCAACAACATGTTAGGGTTCTGTTGCTCTATATCCTCACTGATATTTAGAGTTATCAGTTGTTTTTTTTTTTTAAAATTTAGCCATTCTGGTGGATATAGCTATCTTCCTTTATAACATTCATCATTATGATTATTGATACTCCATTTTTACCACCACAATTATAGTTTAAACAGTCTTAGGTGTTCTGCCTATTCTGGTGATGAACTTAAACTGGTTCATTACAGAGTTGGGGAGTCCACCAAGACCACCCTCATTTCTAACAGTGTCTGCAAGTTTTGGGATCCCCAAAGTAACTTTCAGGTTCAATAATTCACTTGAAGGACTCTCAGAACTCACTGAAAGTTGTTATATTCATGTTTATGATTTATTACAGTGAAAGCATACAGAGTAAAATCAGCCAAGGGAACAGGTGTATAGGCTATGTTCCAGCTGTCGTATCCCAGTGGAATTGTATGGACAGTGCTTACTTCTCCTACAGTGATACGTGATAATACCAAACCAAACCTATTTCCATCCAGTTGATTACAACTCATAGCAACCCTGTAGGACAGAGTAGAACTGCCCCGTAGGGTTTCCGAGGAGTGGCTGGTGGATTCGAACTGCCAACCTTTTGGTTAGCAGCCCTAGCTCTTAATTAACCACTGCGCCACCAATGATAATATGTACAGAATATTGCCAGCCAGGGAACCCTACTTGACTCTTGGTGTCTAGAGTTTTTATTAGGGCTCAGTCACATAGGTATGGTTGACTGCCAATTAGCTGACCTTATTCTCCAGTTCCTACAGAAGTGAAACTGATACTGTGTGGCCCAAGCTCCCCCTCCCCCTATGAATCACATTGCTGGCATGGACTATCTAGTTTGGCCCAAGGCCCTCAGGTAAACAAACACATTTATCAGTCAGGACATTTCAGGGCCTTAGAAGTTTCTTCCAGGAGTCAAGGGCAAAGGCTAGACTTCTCTTTGGGCAGGGTTCATCATTTATTATGTACTCACATACACACTCCTTGGTTTTTAAAGCTCATATACAAAATGTTTGTGTTAACTGATATAATCTATGACCAAGGTCAAGAAACCTAACTGGTCCATATGAATACGTGTTGTGACCTTGGTTCTACCTGACTCAGGAACTAGCCTATTGAGCTATTTAATCCAAATTTACAGAGAGTCTGAAACTTTGCTGAGTCCCTGGGTGGTGTAAATGGTTAATGTGCTTGGCTGCTAACCAAAAGGTTGGAGGTTCCAGTTCACCCAGAGGTGCCTCAGGAGAAAGGCCTGGTAAATCTACTTCCAAAAAGATCAGCCATTGAAAACCCTGTGGAGCACAGTTCTACTCTGGCACATGTGGGGATGCCCTGAGTCGGAATCAACTTGTCATCAACTGGTTTATCTAGTTAAAAGAAAAATACTGTTGGAATAATAGCAGATTTATCTCAACCTCCCAGTCCTTGGTAAACACTAATCTACTTTCTGTCTCTATGGATTTTCTTATTCCGAACATTTCATACAAGTGGAATCGTACAATATGTGGTCATTTGTGTCTAACTTCTTTCACTTAATATTTTCAAGGTTCATCCATATTGTAGCAGGTATCAGTACTTTATTTATTTTTATGGCTGAACAATATTCCATTGTATGTATATACCATAGTTTATCCATTCATCAGTTGATGGACATTTGGGTTATTTCCACTTTTTGGCTATTATGAATAGTGCTGCTATGAACACTTATTTACAAGTTTTTGTGTGGACATATGTTTTAAATTCTCTTGGGCATATATTTAGGAGTGGAATTGTTGGGTCATATAGTGAGTGACTCTGTTTTACCTTTTGAGGAACTCTGAAAATATTTTCCAAAGCAGCTGTATCATTTTACATTCTTACCAGCAATGTATGAGAGTTCTAGTTGCTCCACATCCTTGCCAAAACTTGTTATTGTTTGTCTTTTTAATTATAGCATTCATTAGTATTTTAGTAAGAGGTTTTATGGGAAATCAATTTTGAATTTTGACAAATAACCTTTTCATTTTATATAGAGTTTATCAGAATTTTTTTCCCTCTGCTCTTGATATGGTGAATTATAATTAATAGATTTCTTTAATATAAGTTAATTTTGAGTAGTTGTCATTCTGATTTGTTTTCTTTGGAAGAGGAAATTACTTGTAGGCGTGTAACTGTTTTATAACAAGTATAATTGCCACTGAGAATATTTAAATTAGCTGACATGCTTGTTCAGAGTAAATAATTTTTTTTTCCTTGCAGGCTTCATTCTTGGATATCTTTATTTTCAGATAAGCTTAAAAGGGTCATAAATAAATAACTTTAATATTTACTTTTCTCATTCATAAAATATTAAAAATACCACCTCCCCCAAAATATATATTCATCTTCAGAATTTTTTAATGGTGTGAGTATGAACTAGTTCATTTTCATAAATACACTTTGCCTGAGTATTTACCAGCAGTATTAAAAAGACTAAGAAGAAAGGCCTGGTAATATACTTCTGAAAATTAGCCAGTGAAAACCCTATGGATCTTAACAGAGTATTGCCTGATACAGTGCTGAAAGAGAGCCACCTCAGGTTGGAAGCTACTCCAAATCAACAGTGGACTCAAACATACAACAATCGTGAAGATGGCACTGGACTGGGCATTGTTTCATTCTGTTACATGTAGCGTAGCCATGAGCTGGAACTCGACAGCAGCTAACAACCACAGGCACTTTTTAAGCACTTCATATATTTTAATTAACTAAACTTTATAATATTTCTGTGAGGTGGATACTGTTGTTATTGTCATTTTACCAAGGAGGAACTGAGACATAGAGATGTCATACAGGGTGGAGCTGGGCTTTGAACGTAGTCTGATTCCAGAGCTCAAGTTGTTAACAGTATTCCTAGGCACACATTACTGGTTAGTATTTATAGGTGTGTTGATAAATTTACATGAAATCTTTGTTATTATACTTTGCGTAATGAGTATTTTTTTGTTTGTTTTTAGGACATTCAGTCAGAAGAAGGCTGCTATTGAAAGAGAGTATGCACAGGTAAGCTTGGAAATGGAGGTCCTTACCCTGGCTGTACCTCTTTTCCTTGGCTGAAGGGCAGATATAGTTGTTACAGAGAAGCTTTGGTATTCCCACATCCTCCTTTTCTTCTAATTTCTGATTATATCTCTTTGTCTGATTTCCCTTTTGCTCCATTTGAATCTTCAGGTGAGGAGCTGAGTTGCTCCTTACTACAAAGAAGGTTATGAACCTTCTAGGAGAAATCAGTATTTATAATAATTTGTAGTGTATTTATAAGTACATTTTTTCATTCTCCTCTCTATGTCCCATTCGCCGCAGTTTTATGACAGGTTGATTTTTATTTTCTCTTTAGGGCCCTGTTGGTAGAGGGTGATATGCTTTCAATGGTGTGGAGCTATTTCTAGGGAAATTTAAGCATTTCCTCCTTTTATTTAATTAGAACCTTATTTGCTCCCAGATAGCTAATGTACCAGGAAAAAAATTATGTTGATACATCTTTTTTGTGGATGTGTAAGAATTAATAACTACTCTTCCTTGTTCAAAAACAATTTGACATAATTTGAAAATTTTGGCCCTTGTAAGCAGTTACTTTCTATGTGGAATAGTGTTCTAAAATTGTTTTTTCCCCCAAATTATGAAAGTAGCATTTGTAGCAAAATTTTAAAATATCAGAAAGCGTGGGAAGGAAAATAAATTTAACATCTAGTAAATGTTCTACATGATAATTGCTATTGCTGCTGCTGCTTTTATTCTTATAATTTAAGAGGTTGGAGTATGATTTTCTTTTTTTGTGTTTTGTCAGGTTTTGGATTTAGTTTTATTCTAATTACATTACAGTTGGGTAGTTTTCTGTTTTTATTTTACGTGGTAGTCTTACAAGGGAATTATCTATTCCTTGAAAGCTAACTAGAACTCATTGATTCATTAATTTAGGGAATAGTTACCGAGTGCCTATTGTGTATCAGGTGCTTTACGCAATGAGTAGCATCAGTTTTAATATTTGTGCTGTACTTTCTCTTCTATGCATTTATAATAAATATTAATAATGATAACTGTAATGATAACTAACTTTTATTGAATCCTTACATTGCGTCAGATACTTTATAAATATTTTACGTATGTTATCTGGTTTAATCCTCTCAATAACCCTGTGAAATAGAAAGTTATTATGCCCTTTACAGATATGTTTCCGTACATGTAAATATATAACATATGTATGTTTATATAGTTGGGATTTAGTCTTTGATCTGCTTTTAAAAATTTAATAAAAGTGAAAAGTTTTCTATGATATATTTTTCTGTAACATGATTTAAAGTTTTAATTATCAAATAAATAGGATATGTTCATGATAAAAATATAAAAATTATCAAATAAGTAGGATATGTTCATGATAAAATATAATTAAAAATATAAATATAATAGTACAGTAAATTGTATGAAACGTAGCGGTCCTCTGCCCCAATCCCAATCCCTTTCCTCAGAGAAAAGATTAAAAGCAGATGCCTATTTTGATTCTCCTGGTGATTATTTCCACATCTTTAAATAATGTGCTTATAACTGATTCTTAATTTATCAACTCTAGCCATTATTGCTTGATTACATCGTATAATAAACGAGAAATTAGCCTACTTAGCCATTCCTTACCAACCAGCTCTTTCCAATATAATGTCACTATTTTAGTGTCTTTGTTACTTTGGTAACTAATTTAAACTATATCTGTTGTTACTCAAATGTGTATATATATTATGTGTATAGATAGATACAGGTACACACACAGGTAGTCCTCTACTTAGGACATATTCGAGTTAAGAGGAGCCACACTTAGAATTGTCTGGGTTTTTTTTTTTTTTTTTTTTTTTGGGAACATCTTATTGGAGCCCTGGTGGCACAGTGGTTAAGAGCTCAGCTGCTAACCAAAAAGTTGGCAGTTTGAAACCACCAGCCACTCCTTGGAAACTCTTTGGAGTAGTTTACTCTGTCCTATAGGGTTGCTGTGAGTCAAAATCGACTCGATGGCAACGGGTTTGGTTTTTTTGGTATTGTTAGTAATATGTACTTTATTCAGTGTTGCAGCACGTAAAAGGACCATACAGACAACTCTCACTAATTTTCTGACTAGAAACACCATCCCCATTCTCAGGGATAATCCAGGACCTTCCACAAGTGGAGTTATTATGGCAACTGACAAAATGCCAACATTGTCCATTATTTTATGGATGTATTTTTTTTATGTGTGTCTGTATGTACTAAAATATACTTGTAAGTTTATATGTCATGTTTGCAACCCTGGAAGACAAATGAAGATCAGATTTATAGAGATACTGTTAATAAAAGGCCGTAATTATGAAAACAAACAACAACAAAAAAAAATGAGGTATTCAACTTAACATCAGAACTAACTTAAGACATAGTTGTTGGAATGGAACCCTGTCATAAATTGGGGACTACTTGTATGTTATATGTGTATGTTGTTTTGTTGTTGTGTGCCGTAGAGTTGATTTCAACTCATAGCGACCCCATGTGACAGTAGTGGCAGAGTAGAACTGCCCCATAGGGTTTCCAAGGCTGTAATCTTTATGGAAACAGACTGCAACATCTTTCTCCCATGAAGCAGCTGCTAGTGGGTTCAAACTGCTCACCTTCTGATTTGTCGCCAAGCGCTTGACCATTGCACTACCAGAGCTTCTTATATATGTATAAAACCAAAAAAAAAAAAAACCAAACCCATTGCCATGGAGTCGATTCCAACTCATAGCAACTCTATAGGACAGAATGGAACTGTCCCGCTGGATTTCCAGGAAGCAGCTGGTGGATTCAAACTGCTGAGCTTTTGGTTAACAGCTGAACTCTTAACCGCTGCACCACCAGGGCTCCTGTATATGTACGGGTATATGTATATGTGTGTATATATGTATGTATACAATACAATGTAGTTACATCTTACAGAGTAGTTAGTATTTACCTTTGAAAATTTTCTTTAAATGTTTATGAAATAGATTATATACCTGATTTTGTTTATACAATCCTATATTATAATATATGTAAACTATATAAGGTATCTAATGTATATTGTAAAATTTCATAGCGTAATCATATTCAGAAATTTAAATGTTCCAGGATTTGTCTATTTGGGGCAGTTGAGCACCTTTGTGATGATCCTGTTTGTTCACTCTTCTTGTTACTTATCATATTTGCCATTTAGATGATTTTTCTCAGGTCTTTCTCTTGAATGTTTCCCAATTAATTTTCAGTTTATTTCCTGAGTATATAGATAACATTATCCCTACCCTCTCGTTTGGTTGCCTGAACAGTGCTTCACTTCTTGTCAATCATAGGGAAACCCTTAAAATAATTGCCACATTCTTTCTATAGATTTTGCCAGTATGCACTGATGATTTCAGGTTTATTTACATTCCCTTTCCAAGGACGTACCCACATTGGATAGATAGTGTGTGGTCCGAGAGGACAGCTGCACTGTTTAAATTATTTCTTACTCTTTCGTTCTTTGGCTCAGCGTAGAACTGAAATTTTGGAGGGTTAAATTTTTTTATTGTGATGAAAATATACGTAAAAAACATACACCAGCACACCAATTTCTACATGTACAATTCAGTGACGTTGATTACATTGTTCAAGTTGTGCAACCATTCTTGCTGTGCCTTTCCAAATCAGTCCACCACCATTAACATAAACTCAGTGCCATGTAAGCAGAAACTCTCCTTTTCCGCCCGCTCTCCTACCCTTGGTAACCACTAATCATCTTTAGTCTCTGTATATTTGCTTATTTCATGTTAGTGAGATCATATAGTATTTGCCCTTTTGTGCCTGACTGACTTCGCTTAGCATGATGTTTTCAAAGTTCATCCATGTGTGGCACACATCAGAACTTCATTTCTCTTTATGGCTGAGTAATATTACATTGTGTGTATGTACCACATTTTGTTTATCCATTCATATATTGATGGACATTTTGGTTCCCACCTTTTGGCTATTTTGAAAAGTGCTGCAATGAACATCAGTGTACAGGTTTCTGTTTGCATTCCTGCCTTCACTTCTACTGGGTATATGTGTAGGATTGTGATTCTGGGTCGTATAATACAACAGTCCCTCCTTATCAGTGGGGAATACATTCCAAGACCACCTGTGGATGCCTGAAACCTCGGATAGTATCAAACCCTATATATACTATGATTTGTTCTGTACGTATATACCTATGATAAAGTTTAATTTATAAATTAGGCATGGTAAGAGATTAACAACAATAACTAATAATAAAATAGAACAGTTATAACGACATAGTATAATAAAAGTTCTGTGAATGATGGAGCGGGATGGCGTGAGATTTTATCATGCTACGTACTCATTTCAGCATTTTCGAACCGAAGTCGACCGTGGGTAACTGAAACCATGTAAAGTGAAACTGCAGATAAGGGGCGGCTACTGTAGTTTTAGGTTTAACTTTTAAGGAACTGCCAGACTTTCTCACAGCATTGGTACCATTTTTAATTCCCACCAGTAATAGATGAGGCTTCCAGTGTCTCTACATCCTCACCAACATTTGTTGTTTTCCCTTTTTTAGATCTTAGCCATCTTAGTGGGGGTAAGGTGATATCTCATTGTGGTTTTGATCCCCATCTCCCTAATTGCTAATGATGTTGAGCATCTTTTCATGTGCTTGCTGGCCATTTGTAAATCTTCTTTGGTGAAATGTCTGTTCATGTTCTTTGCCCATTTAGTTGATTGAGGTGTTTGTCTTTTTGTTTAAGTTGTGGGAGTTCTTTATACATTCTGGATATTAAACCCTTATCCAATATTTGGTTCCCCAAATTTTCTCCCAGTCTGTAAGTTGTTTCTTCACTTTGTTGCAGAAATTCTTTGTTGAACAGAAGTTTTTAGTTTTGATGAAGTTTATCTGTTTTGTCTTTTGTTGGTCATGCTTAGAAAGGAAACAGTTTTTACCTTTTTTCATCAGTTAGAAGTTGCCTTTTTTTTTTTTTTACATGTAAGTACCTTATCTA